GGATGTAATTTAAATCTATATATTGTCATTTTTTTGTATCATCATTAAAATGAAGCCCCATAATTTCCTTACAATCCTTGGAAGGGAGAAAGAACTAAATAGGACAAATATATAAAGAAAATATTTCACTTCATTTTGGGAATGGCCTAGAAATGCAGACTGACCTATTTTTTGTAAGACAAGTAAAAAGAGGTTTCGGAGAAGAGGGCTATTTTAGGTTGGGTCAATATTCTGTAGCAGATATACAGTTCAGTTCTAGAAGGTGCTCTTGGGACTAGGGCTGACATGTCTCCCTTTCCCACCCCAGAGAGGAAAAAGGAACCTTTTGGAAACAGAAAGAACCCAAAGTTATATAAGCAAGTCCTTAAGTCCTCCATAAGACTACTTACACTTATAGCTGAGCAAGCTAGGAATTTGGGGAAAAGATGGTAACTGTCAAAATGTCAGAGGCAACAACTACCAAGTAGAAAAGCCATTTGGCTCAAAGTACCTTTAAGCACATCCTACACTATTTTTCAACCAAAAACTTTGCTTTGTGTATACCAATGATCTCAACCTACCATCATTAGAGACCACCCGTGCTGCTCCTGGTCACAGAAGAAGTTTCTATCTCTACATGATGTACATACAGAAGGCATCTTCTCATATGATTCACATTAGATCTACACAAAGAAGGATAAAGGCCAAATAGCCACAGTCTATAGTACTTGGAGAGTTTCTTATTCTGCATGGCAAAGTGTACTTACCAACACAAGTGTTGGACACTGGACCTGAAATCAGGTCTCACTACTCTAATTCTGTGGTAAGTATCTGCTGCAGTTTGGATCTTAGAAGCCTCCTAAAGGCCTAGATGTTGCACACATAGCCCTTACTTGGAGCTCTTGGGAGGTGCTAGAAACTGAGGTGGGCCTGATCAGCAGTCCTAAGTCACTAGGGAATATTCTTGAGTGGAGTGTGGCACCCTGGTCTCTTCCTTTCTCCTAGTAAAAGAGAACCAGTCCTGCTTTGGCACATGGTCACACCTTACTGTCTCACCATATTGCAAAAGCAATGGGGCCAGCCAGTTATAAAAAGGACCCTCCTAAGCAAAGTCAAAATAACCCTTTTCTCATAGTGTTTCTGTCTGTCTTTTTCTTCCTCTTGTCCTTTGAGACAAGGTTTCACTATGTACCCCATAGTCTCACCCTTAACTCACTGATGTAGCCCATGCTGGCTTCAAACTCATGATCTTCCTGACTCAGCTCCTAAGGCTGAGGAATATAGAGACATGCCACCATGCCTGGAAACCTTTTCTCTTTATACGCTGATTAACTCAGCTGACTAACACAATGCCATCATATGAAGGGAGGGATATAACATTTAAATGACAATTGAGTAATGCAAGTTTTAATTTAAATATTGAACTACCATTATATTAAATAAACCACTGACTCTCCAAAGGTCTCATTCTTCTCTTTTAAAAAGAAATTTAAACTAGATGACTTCAGTTATTTACTCAAGAAGAGATATTAAAGCCATAATATGTTAACACTAGGCGATATAAGATAAATAAGACTAAGATCCTTTCCCTAATAAAGATAAATGGAAATGACCCAAGCAGGATGAGGATAGCCAAGAAGCAATAATGTGATAACAGAAGAAGATAAGAACTTTGGGAAAGAAAAAAAGAAGTCACTTAGAAAGAATGGTGAGAGGGGGCTGGGAAGGTGGCTCAGTGGTAGAGCGCTTGCCTTGCATGCATGAGGCCCTGGGTTCGATTCCTCAGCACCATATAAGCAAAAAGAAAAAAGCCGGAAGTGGTGCTGTGGCTTAAGTGGTAGAGCGCTAGCCTTGAGCTGAAGAGCTGAGGGACAGCGCCCAAGCCCAGAGTTCAGGCCCCATGACCGGACCCAAAAAAAAAAAAAAAAGAAAGAATGGTGAGAGGACCTTACATTGAATTAAATCATGTATGAGTGGAAATTAAAATTTAAGGAGATAAAAATGACATTCAAAGCAGAGAGAAACAAAGGCTGAATAGAAAAGCAGCTGAGATTGGCTAGGAAATCATAAACAGTACAAGGCTTCTGCAGCAAATCTACAAAGCAGAAGAGACATGAAGCAACAGTTGGAAGGAGAGGCCAGATTGAAGAGATCCTTATATGATATATTAAGAAGCTGGACGTTATCCAGTAGGCAATAAAGATCCAAGGCAGGGCTTTCAGAGGCAAGTGGCATAGTTAGGATGTAATTTTAGAAAGATCATTTTGACAGCCATGCAAAGGAAGAACATGAATGATACAAACTAGACACAGAGAATCTAGTTAAGAATCTATAGCAGAGATGACGCGTGCTCATTCCAGGGTGATTATAGCAAAAGACATAACAGGTTCAAGAAATAAGAAACCAATCAGTAGGACCAGAAATGGATTGAAAGTGGAGTAAAGATGTGACGGGAAAGAAAAAGAATGGAATAGATCCAGGTTTCTGCTTAGACAGAGACAGAATGATATTGAATAAAGGGGAAGCAACAGAAAAACTTATCCTGAGTTCAATTTAGGACATGTCAATTCCAAAGTCTCTAGGGTAGCGATGTACACAGCCAGTTTAAAACAGTAACCCAATGCTCAGGACCCCAGCCTGTCTGAAGAAGCTGCATACACTGTCACTGAAACATGAGGAATTATTGTGACCACAAGGGAAAAGCTATAATAAAGGGGTATGTACGATTCCTGGCTAGATTTTGTTAAGTACCAAAATCCTGTGCCATTCAAAAGGAAAAAAAAAAAACAAAAAAACAAAAAACTAGGTGACAGTGACACAGAACACAGAGGGAGAGATGATCTCAAGAAGGAGGTCCTCCTCACCGAGATAGGGTGGTGCAGCTTGGGTCTAACTCCAGGAAAAAAGGAGCCGTAAAATGAGAGAATAGTAGAAGCAGGACAGCTATTCTCATCTTCCTCCTGCCCGTTTCCTCTAAAGCAGGTCAGAAAGCCTAGGAGACCTTCCTTTGAAGCAGGTGCTGGATTCTCATGTGAGAGCTACATTTACTATTCCCAAAGGAAAGAATCATCCTTATCTGAGGTGCAGAGAAGAATTTAACTAACAGGCCTTACTCAGTTCCTCATTGATCACCATTAGGTTACACCCCCAGTCCAGTCACACTTCCCATGATCATCATCACACCTAAGCTTAAGGACTCACCAATGGGAGAGGGACCAGCTGTGAGCAAAAATCACTAGACCCTATCTTAAAAATGAATGAGGAAAAAAGGGCCTGGGCATAATTCAAGTGATAGAAAACCTGCCTAGCAAGCACGAGGCCATTGCATTCAGTTCAAATACTGCCAAAATAAACAATGACCTCCACATACACAGAGTGAAGGAGGCTAAGGTAAAAGTGGCATTACTGGTAAAGTAACACTGTCTTGTTCCAAATGCTACCTAAAAGAAATTCTGTCATCTGAAGTCACATTTCCACTCCGCCAATAATGAAATTAAAGAGAATGATCTATGAAGGTCATTCTTACAGCTTGTGCCAAAGTTGAAACTTCACTGATAACATTCCCCTGAATTCATTATTTCCTTAGGTAAATTACTAGTGTTAGTAGAATTTAAGATAATACATTAAAGCTTTAAAAATAGTAAATTAGGATAATTTTACTTGCTCTAAGATTCACACTAATAATAATATTGAAAACTTCACCACTCTGAATCAAGCAGTGATGCTGGTTATACAAGTCAAGACTACAGATGTCAACTAGTACTTATTCTGTATATCAGATGACTGTCAGTCACTGAACAGGATCTCTCCCCAAGAGTACAGCATTTATTTCAGCCTCTGCCAGTGGAAGTGTTAGAGCAGATGTTGGCAGACTGTGACATACAGTCTGTCTTTAAAACTTGTTGGGGTGTGAAATTGCATAAGGTCAAGAAATGCTGCATTTTGATAAGCAGACATAGGAATTCTCTACATTTATAAATTATTTCAGACAAACCAACAGAACTGCTTATAAACTAGACAAACAGAACTATACTGGCTATTATATGCTGCTAATCTTTTCAGATAATTTCTATCACTTTAAAGCAATGTTCATGCAAAGGATCTTTAGAAGGAAAATAGGTTTTCAAATCAGTAATAAATACAAGATAATATTCCAACTATCAGAAAGATTTAAAAACAGTTTCCTACTGAAAAAAAAGCCATTACTATCTAATAAACAGTTTGATGGAGAAAAAGATGTTTCTTTAAAGTATATATGAGAGGGGTTTATTATCTTTAAGTAGTTATACAAAGAGATTTCAATTCAATATGTTATAACTATATTGTATCTTCTAGTGTCTCCCTCTTCCATCTATCCTAACCTGAATAGGATCTCTTTTTAAAAAAATTGCTACTTAAGAATCCACTGATATGAACATGATCATTCAATTAACTATAAAAACTTTAGTTTATCTTAAAAATCATTAAAAATAGAAACAGACTCCAGGCTCTTACAGTGGTAATATGAAATTTATAACATTCGAACACTATCGTTTCTTGGATGTTGGTTGTTATTTAACTGGGTTTTTAAAAACCTTCAATTTTCTAAAATGTCTTTTCCAAACATAACAAGTAAACACATCCAAAATGAATATTAAGGAGGTCATCTAGTTAAACTTTTCATCTCAATTTCACAGATAACAGAAGTTGATTTAAACCCAACTTTAAAAAGCTTTACTTCTCAATTAGCACAGAAAAGTCCTTTTTACTGATGAATCAATAGGTCTTAACAGTGTTAAAAGGCCTGAGTGTAACGTAATTTTAATAATTGTTATTACCAGTTATCTTTCAGTTAATTTTGTGCTATGTTTAAACAATTACAGCATTTCTAAAAAATTAATTTTTGTTATACATTTATAAGAAAAGTGTAACTATGAATGCTTCTTTTCCATAGACTTCTCAGCTATCCCAACATATTTCACACACAAAATTCTAAGAAAAAGTAAATGTGAAGTGAATCGGTAGTAAGGTAATGGACTTACTTGCCACTGAGAAGTTGTTGAGGGGGTAAGGTAAGTCTACATCCTGAGGTTTTTCTTTATATCCTATGAATGAGCCGTCTGTCTTCAAAAGAAAATAGCGTGGCCTCCAGTTTTTTATATATTCTCCTGCATGAGGAAAACACACGTGTTAATGCTAAAAGGAAATGAGCAGTAGCTTTCATGTGAAAAATAAATTATGGTACAATGTATGTCCTACAACATTGGCCTCCAAAAATTTAGCTAGGCAATTTTCTTTTAACTAAGCTTACAAAAGAAAATACATAAACCTACAATTAAGATTCAATTAAAACCCAAACATGTTTTGTTTTTAATAATTCCACACTTCGATAATTCATTTGCACCATTATTCCTCCAGAAATCATTCATCTGAGTAGCATTTTGTTTGGTTTTCCAGTTTGTCAGATGATTGTTCGAGTACATTTCCAGTTGTTTTAAAAGCCTTGACAAAATCAGGCATATAGTATTTATGAATTTTGGTGAAAAACATTTGCAAGAGTAATAAAAGGTATTTCTCTCTCATGTACCATTGACTACTTGGTATTATTTTTATATAAAGGAAAAAAAATGCTGGTGTTGGGTCCTAAACTCAGGCCTGGGCGCTGGCCCTAAGCTTGGTGCTCAAGGCTAGAGCCACAGTGCCACTTCTGGCTCAGTTGGAGATAAGAGTCTCTCAGGGACTTTCTTGTCTATATTGGCTTAGAACCTTGAGCCTCAGAACTCAGCTTCCTGAGTAGCTAGGATTACAGGTGCTTGAGATCTAATAGCAGGGTACAACTATCCAGTACAGGACTGGAAAATAGAACCAGATGGCCATGCAGTTCTCGTGGTGCTACAGAGCACAACTGTTGCTTAATGTTAGGAAATGTTTGGGTTGTCTAGCTGGAAGTATGTGCAAATCTAATAATAGGCACATTTACTGACTGTTATGTCATGGCCCTTTAACCTGTGTTGTTAACATCTATGTCTTTGTCTGTGTACTTGTATACAGTTTTGTTGTTGTTGTTTTGGTCAGTCGTGGGGTTTGAACTCTGCGCCTGGGCTCTTCAGCTCAAGGCTAGCACTTGAGCCACAGTGCCACTTCATGTTGGTTTTCTCAATGGCTTACTGAAGAGTTGGGGGAGGGGGATGGGAAGGAGTGGGGGAGGTGGGGAAGGTAAGGGATATTGGGACAACAACAAGGAAGGGAAGGGGTAACAATGATTGACAAGTAATGCACTCATTGCCTCACTCATGTAACTGTAACCCCTCTGTAAAGCATCTTAATAATAAAACAAAATTAAAAAAAAAAAAACAAAGAAAAGAGTCTCACAGACTTTCCTGCCCTGGCTGGCTTTGAACCATGATCCTCAGATCTCAGCCTCCTGAGTAGCTAGGACTACTATAGATAGCTTTAAGCTGTGTTTCAACCCGTGTTCTTTCATTTTCTTGACTTATAATTTTCATTTACAAAATGTTATTTTCCTAAAAAAATAAGCTTTAGTCAATATTTAATAATGAAAATAATACAGGGCAGCTATATCTATCATCTCAGTACGTGGGAGGTTGAGGCAAAACAATCTTAAGTTAAAATCAAGTTTAGGCCATGTAGTGAGACCCTGTCTTAAAAAAAAAAAAATTAAGCCAGGTGCCAGTGACTCACTGTGTAATCCTAGCTCTTCTGAAAGCTGAGATCTAAGGATCATGGTTCAAAGCCAGCCCTGATGAGACTTATCTGCAATTAACTATCAAAAAGCCAAAAGAAGGGGCTGAGAAGGGGGCTCAGTGGTAGAGCACTTGCTTTGCATGCATGAGGCCCTGGATTTGATTCTTCAGCACCACATAAGCAGCAGAAGCCGGAAGTGGCGCTGTGGCTCAAGTGGTAGAACTCTATCCTTCAGCTGAAGAGCTGAGGGACAACGCCCAGGCCCAGAGGTCAGGCCCCACAACTGACAAAAAAAAAAAAAAAAAAGAAAGGAAAAGAAGAAAAAGACAAAAGAAATCAGGCCTTGGTAGGTCACGCCCAGGAGGCTAAGTGAGATGTGAGGATTGTAGTTCAAAGTCAGCCCAGGTAGCAAAATCTGTGACACCCTTACCTTCAATTAGCCACCAAAAAGCCAGAAGTAGAGCTCAAGTGGTAAAGTGCACCCAGGCCCTAATTTCAAGTCCCAAAACCAGTGTACACACACACACACACACACACACACACACACACACCGATTCCCCCCCCCCCCCACTTTTCAAAGGCACTGTTCCAAAGACATCCATCAATATACATCCAAAATTTGTCTGCATTCAAATGTGAGTTGGTACAGTGTGACAACTGGAGAGCATTTCTAACACAAACTTCTCATCAACTTTCTACCCACATTTGCAGGTGTTCTACTTGCTCCTGTGGCTGGACTTTGTTTTGACCTACTTTATCTCCAATTCCAAAATACGCCATCATGTTTTACTTAACAGCAAGAGATACTCTGAGAAAAGCATTTTTAAGGCAATTTTGTCCTTGTGCAAACATCAGAAAGTGTACCTAGACAAATCTGGATGGTACAGCCTGCACATATCCTAGCACAGGTTTGCTAACCATCACAAGCACATGAGGAATGGTTTGAACTCTGACTAAAATCTTACTTGGCAACAGGAAATTTTAACCTCCATTATAATCTCCTGCGACCATTATTCAATATGTGGTCAGTCACGGACCAAATCCTTATGTGGGCATAACTGCATTTCCTAGAAAGGATTCTGGTAGTTTAGCTTGTGTAATGAGCTAAATGATTCATTCTTCAAAGATGCATTCATCCTAACCTTTGGAACTTAAGAATATTACGTCACTTTATTTGGCAAAAGATGTGATTAAGTCAATGATTTTGAGAAAGAGCTTCTGCTAGCTTATCTGAGTGAGCCCTAAACCCAATTTTAAATGTCTGTGTATGAATGGAGTGATGCATAGAGAGAAGGCAATGTAACCATGTAGGTAAAGACTGGAATGATACACCATAATCTAAAAAGCACCTACCACCACCAGAAGCCATAAGAAATAAGGAATAGACCCTAGAGCCTTCAAAAGGAGTGGGCTCAGTCACACCCTGTTTTCTAAGTTCCAGTCTATACAACGAGGACAGAATCATGAGTTTCTGTTGTTTTAATCAATGTACCCTGCTACACTCTGTTACAACCACCACGGGAAATAAATACAGCTTCTAATCACTGTAACCAAAGGATTATTCACAGAACAGAAACAACAAAAATCGAATTCATTAGTCCTTGGCATGGAATAATATACAGATTCGGTTTATATCTCCTGAATGAAAATGACAAAATCCTTATAGCTTCTATAAAAATGAGAGAATCCAACTTGTGAAATGCAGAGTTGGAAGAGGCTGTTTTCTAGAGTGCAGAGTTCTACTTATAAGGACTCTAGATTTTGGTCCTTTGCCAACTTTCCCACACTGCTTAAAATTTATTAAAATAAACATGATTTCTCTTAAGGCTAGGTTGTGTTGAGTTATAACTCTAACTTCAAGAGAAATACAAAGTTAGATATGAGCTGAACCATGTACAAACTGCTGTAGCAATGCTTAGTTAGCTGTTAGAGACCTACCCATCTATTGAAATCCAATGCTAAATGAGATGGTACTAAAAACACATATATATTAACTTATGTTTTACTAGAACAAGCACAAACATAATCCAAATGAATATAAATCCACATTTATGTATCTATGGAGACAAAGTCATTGTTTTTAAAATATGCTATTTGCTTAAATAAAATGGAAAATAAAAGGTCCTAGAGAGTAACATGTGTAAAGCAACCAAGTTGAAATTCAGAGCTTTTCTAAGATACACAGAGGATAAAGATTTTTAAACTACCACTGGCAAGTCACATTTGTTATATATAACATTGGATTTTAGGGCTGGGAAGGTGGCTCAGTAGTAGAGCGTTTGCCTTGCATGCATGAGGCCCTGGGTTCGATTCCTCAGCACCACATAAGCAAAAAGAAAAAAGCCGGAAGTGGCGCTGTGGCTCAAGTGGTAGAGCACTAGCCTTGAGCTGAAGAGCTGAGGGACAGCGCCCAGGCCCAGAGTTCAGGCCCCACGACCGGACCCAAAAAAAAAACAACATTGGATTTTAAAGCTAGTTACTCTGCAAGGAACAAAGAATAAACATTCTCAAATGTTTGTTCTCTACTCTACCTTGGACAAGATGGTATATACCTGTAATTCCAGGACTCAGGAAGCTGAGGTAGAAAGAGCATAAGTTGAAGACAATCTGGAGTATACAGATAGAGCATCTAAAATTTTCTTTCTAAGTAAAACGTGATAATTAAGAACTCTTGACTATACTGATTGGCTGCACAAATGCAGCCAGTCCACTATATTTACCTTCTTCCTCTGTACAATGGGAATCATATCATACTTACATAAAGAATTTTTGTAAGGGCATACTGTAAAAGTTCTTAGCATTTCATATTTAACAAGTGTTAAACTCTAAATTAAATGGAACTGCTAATTTGATAACATAATTCGTAATGGTACTGTGATTATTCGGTAGTATCTGCATAAATACTAAACTAATAAATACTGCATTAATAAATTCATCCCACCAGCTGGACATGTGACTCACATCTGTAGTCCTCGCTATTTTGTGAGGCTGAGATTGGGAGGACTGTGACTCAAGGCCAGCACCAGTAAAATGTTACTGAGACCACAATGTCAACAGAAAAAGCTGTTTGTAGTGGCATGCTCCCTCCATCCCAGCTAAAACAAAAAATACAAATAAGAGGGTGTGGTCTCGACTAGCCAGGGAAAAAGGAGACCCTGTCTCAAAATTAAAAGCATAAAGGTCTGGGGCATAACTCAAGTGATGATGCACCTGCCTAGTAAGCATGAGGCTCTGAATTTAAACTCCAGTACTGTCAAAAAACTTTCTTAAATAAAAATAAACTGGGGCTGGAAAGGTGGCTCAGTGGTAGAGTGCTTACCTCACATGCATGAGGCCCTGGGTTTTATTCCTCAGCACCACATAGAAAGAAAAAGCCAGAAGTAGTATTGTGGTTCAACTGGTATAGTGCTAGCCTTGAGCTAAAGAGCTGCAGGGCAGTACCCAGGCCGAGTTCAGGCCCCAC